TAAATATAGCATGATAGGTCCACTTTAAACTAAATTACGTCATTCAATATTGATTTTAATTTCTAACAGAAGGGAAGAGTTAGATTGAAGGGAGGGAAGAGTGAAGGTTAAGGTATGAGGAAAGGGAATAGTTTATGGTTAGGAGAGAGGGTAGGGGTCAGATAAAAGGGGTTTAAGGTTTGGAAGAATAGGAATGGTTATAAAAGAGTTACATTTAGGAGGGATGAGGGTAGGGATACTGTTGTGGAGATCCAGCATAACACAACAGGAAAGAATGAAACAGAGAGGAATCAATAAAACACAAACACAGATATAGCTGATAAGTAATTATTATTTAGTTGTTGCAACAAACAAACAATAATGGGAAGTACATCACCTGCTGCCACAGCAGCCAATCGCGGAAATGCCCCCAAGAACAGAAGAAATACAGGGCTAGATATACTTTTCTAAATGACACACGAACATGTTCCCCAAACATGTTTAACGCACACACATTTTATCATGCAGCCAACCACACAAATGTCACATGTTTTTCTCTCTGAAAGCTATACCTGTATATGTTTAAACGTCATCATCTCATGACATCTTTAGGATTAGTTAACTAACAAAGGTTAACTGTTTTTATAACCCGAGGCCTTCTCTGAACTTCCTATACCCTCGGTGTCAGCTCACTTAAAATGAATACATCTATTGATAATTCAGAACGACCATTGTCTCTCTAACTGTGTGACCCAACTCAGTAACACACATCATATGGAATACCATGTGATCATTAATGAATATCAGAAATACGCTGTATTAAACATTCTGCCATAACACTCCCTCCTTTTATTAATTAAGATCAAGTAACCTACTGAGTTCCGCCCTCGAAAGCCCAAAATGACTTTCTGAAAAATATTTATCAATGGGTAATAATTTTACTCAAGGCAGAAGTCACAGGTCACCTGTACTGTACACAATAGCCAAAAAAACACCTTTTTGATAACACAAAAAGTGGAAGAAAAGACAATTGCGCTAATCCTACTCTACTTAAATGGAAAATCATTTAAAAAACCTCAGTATGCTTCAGAGGAAAAGATCTATTTGTCCCATTCAAGTTTAACAAACTTACATACATAATGAAAAATCTTCCAAAACATTTATAGCAAGATGTAACTGGCGTCCACTCTTTCTACTTCTGTTATATTGTCCAGTAAACACTTCTTCAGGGTGTGCACGTTCCGATCTCCATGCGTAGCCTTTAGATGGAATATCTATCTTACCCCTAGATTCCACCGGGTCCGTCTGCGGCGCGTTACGGACGCGTTACGGCTGCGCCGCGGTGCTCAAGGTGATCGCGGCCACTCTAGTCAATGGGTGCTATTCCACCACACGCGGCGTGTTACGGCTCAGACGCATCCCAGAAGCGGCTCGGCGCAGGGCTTTTCTAAAATTAGGATCGAATCCTATTTTTGTCGCGGCGCAGCCGTAACGTAAGGTCGGGCAGGCAGGAAGTGGAACGTTCAGAGCTATATAGACCTATATATATACACACACACAAACTAATTTTGCAGACCCTATCCCTCCGTAGTCTTTCAAGTAGGAGGAGAAATGCCAGCGTTCTCCTCCGGTTTACAGGCACTGTGTAAATTATATATATAGAATAATTATGATGATGAATGCATTTTTTTTACCACTAAAATACAGCAACACATCTTTGATTCATGTCGTTTATAACTGGAATATTACAGTTATTATTAACTTTGTCTGTACAAAGTAGCCTGTCCAGGAAATATGCCCAAATCAACAAAAACTGCGAGCCGGCAGGCAAGACTCTCCGCTTCTGAAATGCTTCTGAAACACGCCTGGTAGGGTATGACGCTGGAGGAGGCCGGACCAAAACCGTGGCGCTGCCGTAACGCGGCGCAGACGGACCCGGTGGAATCTAGGGGTTAGCCTTCATGCTGTGGTGTCCCATCTCATAGCAAAATCCCTTGATGACATCTGAAGCAACATCATTACCATTTGAATTGGACGGAACTGTAGTCAGAAAAACTGAGACTTCAGTAAAAGAACAGTTAACGGTGGATCTTCTATATGTTCTCTGGAGTGTTGAGATTACTAATATACTTGGCTGTAAATCATCTCAGAAGTTTTGGGTTTTGTACTTCGTGTTGACCCAAACCCATAAGACAATAGCAGTAGAAGAATAGCTGGAAGTCATCCAGTCTGCCTCAGAATGATCCATCTTCCCTCCTCAAGATTGCAAGGGGAAAAACAGCTTTGACCTGGGTAGAAAATAGCACTTGCATTCTGGGTTAACAGCCTACAGTCGACCACTAGGTCTTAGAGTCTTATCTATCATTTTTAAACTTCTTGAAACCATGAAATGTTGTTTGTGTTGTGTTTTTACTTACCCACAATTTCCTAAACACACAACAAACATCTCCTGCAACATTGTTCAGCCATGGTGCTGAAACCAATCAGATCCCAACTTTGAACAATACATTTAATCATACGTCTTAGCAGAACCCAATCGAGAGCTTGACCATGTGGGAAAAAGTTTTTTTAGTCGACAAGTTTCATTTGCCCTCTGGATCATGTGAGGGTTAAAAGATTCACATGACAAGAATTCAAAGAAATCTGAAACCAATGTGTCACAGAAGAAATAATGAAAGATTTCAACTGGGATGGAAACAAAATATTATCAAATACATCTTGAAATTAAATTACTAAATTGAACAATAAACCCATTATACCCCTCCTGGAAACGTTGTCCTCCAAACCATAGAGACCATGTTTCCCCAAGTAAGATACTTCAGAGTACCCATCTTCACATACAATGTTATTTCAAAGTCCTATATGACTCATCATTAGGAACACCTAAAACAAAGGAAAAAAAAAACGTTCTCCTGTCGAAAAGAATCAGCAATGTTAAAAATCAAGCTACATAGTCATTAAGCCATGCAGGGATCATGCAGAGTCAAACAAAGTTCATGCGTCATGTCTCACAATGGTTCAACTAATATGGCATAGTCAGAAAACCATTGCCAAAAGCATTGTGTGCATCCCAAAATAAAATCACCTTTCGTCGGTGGGTCAGTTTTACTGTAACACTCAGGAATTGACAAATCAATTCACATTCATTCAGTCTTTGCAAAGTCTAAGTCAGTCTTGAGATCTCATGTCCTTTAGTAGTGCACTTTGATATTCTACCAGCTGGAGTTTTTACTAGTGACATCATTGTGTTGATGTCAAACAATGCAACAAAGTTTTTCCCGTGTTCGCAGCACAATTTTCTTCAGAGGTTTAAACAAACAAATTATCAATAAACTTCATTAATGTACTGCCCCTAGGAAACACAAAGCCTGACAAATGTTCATGCAAGGCATTCCTAAGTGAACCTGCAGATAACGGCCTTTTTAATTAATATTCCAATTTAATCAATAATAATAACAATAATCCATTTTAATCAATTTGTTTACCCTTAGAAGTGAACATATCTCATAATGTTTCACCAGGATATTAAACTAAGCTTTAGCCAAATCAATCATTATTACTGTATCAGATTTAACTGGTGATTGAACAAACAAAGCCTCTTTGTTTACGACATGCAAACACATGTTTTCCAAGTTCAGCATCAGCCTTCGTTACTCTAAAATTACGTTTGAAATAGGAATATTAGAAATGGAACAAATATTAAATCTTCAGAAATGTTCTTAACAATTGGAGAGTAATGCCATCTCTCCATCTAGGAAATAGCCAACATGTTTCAAAAATGTCAGATATATAAAAATAAGCCTAATACTCCTTTACTATCAAAGTCTAAAGCTAGACCTAAGGTGAACAGTTTTGGTAATGGACAATTTAATCTAAAAACAAAACAAAATTGGACTCGTGTTTTTGTTATTTGTTCTTCAAAATACATTAGTAAACACTTTGTGAAGTATTCACAATATAACTAACCCTCTCTAGGATATCAAATCTGTTCTTCTTTAACCAGATACTATTTCCCTATTTATTTTTAGTTCATGATAACAATGGTGTAACTACCACACGTTTTACCCATAGCTAGTTTATATGTCAAGATTATTCTGTGTGATAAAATAATCAGATGTATTGTATGCTAAACAAGGATATTAAACTTTAATCTTTTCAGTATTCCAGACCATCGTTAAACAAGCAGCCTCTTTTCTTAAAAACTAAACATAATGTTCTGCACCACCATCTGGAAAACTCTTGCACAGTTATGCTATAAAATCATTGCATAATTTCTTCAGAGTCTGAACAGTCTGAGAAAAGCCTGTCTCAAGATCTTGTCATAATGAGAACAGTCAGTGATTCGTTGTCCTCTGCAGCTGTAGTCAGTTGGATCAAGGAAACTCTTTTTGGCATTTGGATGTCTGGAGGGGAGGAAACTCTTGGATCAATGTGGTACAATCAGCAGACACACGTTGTCCTCTTCACACCACTGTTGCCTTGACAACGAGGCACAAGCAAAATGTCAAAACCTCCTCAGAGATGCGTTCTTTGCACAATTCTTCTGTTTCTGTAGTGAGCAACATTTCACCAACACACTGATTCAGAGTACAACCCAAAGGTGGCGCACAACTATCCAGTGCTGCTGTAATCACAGCAAATCAGCTACTAGATAAAAACTCAATTTAAATCTCTCCCCCAACGGGTTACAAAATGGCTGAGTGTCTATATGGTCAGGAATGCTGAAACATGTGAATGTTAAAACAAACTAACGGTGGTAGTTTACCCAGATTCTTTACTTCGTTAAAAGTAGTAAAACATTGTAAAATCTCTTTTTTCTAGTTGACGTCCTGCTTTTAAATTCTAGTCAGGAAAAGAACATAAACATCATCTTTAAAATCTTCTTGAATTCGAAACCAAAAAGGTATTAATTCTCCACCATGATCCATTTCTACATCAAAGTCCATACAAACTGATGATTTATCTTTAAAAACCCATGAAGAATGACAGTTCTCATAAAACACTATTCTTCTTTACTTCAGTTCTAAGTCAAATTAGCAAAACAAGGAAACCCTCCTTAACCACTATAAACTCATCTTTTATCTATTTGCTTATTCTATTCATTTTCTAATTGTTTATCCAAGTTGTGTTACAAGCATGGTTAGGTTGTAATAATACAAAACTAACTGTATTCAGACCGCGCTATATTTGAAAAACAAGTAATCTAATTACAGTTAATGAATATATTTTTTGGAACCCTTAAAGGAATTATTGGTGGAAAAGTTTCCTCACAAAATGTAATCTTCATTACTAAAGCTAAAACCTACAGAAATCATCACGGAACAGTTTTCTTTATCACTTAATTGTTTCAATAAAAACAAAGAAGGCATTGTGAAAACTCCCACTTTGAGAACATCTCAACACTTTATTCCATCTAAGCATGAATGTTTATGACAGACACGCCCTATTAATCCAAAACGGTCTTTAATGGTATACATTGTGAACTTTCTTAACATTAATTGTAAATTCAACTTATGTTCTCTTTAGAACAAAGATAGGATAGTTGCAGCTGAAACTGGTTAATAGCAACTTTCTGTTAACTTGCATGTTGTTCTTATATCTAGTAAATATATTTATTTTTATTTTATGTTACTCATAAAACAGTAAACCATAGGAACATTTTCCAGAATAGTAGTTAACTTTATATAACTTTTACTCTCTCTAGACTTTTCAAAACATCTTAATTCTAGGTGAAAATAGAACTAAATCTTTTTATTTCAATATAGCTACTTCATATACTCAGTAAATCTCTTTTTACTTTCCCTTAATGTTACTGTATGAAATATAATTAAGTACAATTCTTAGTTAATGACAAATACCATGAAATTCACAATGCAATGCAATGGTAACAATCAGTTCTCAAAACTTCTCATAAAAACCACAATGTGACGTAACTGTATCCTACAAAAACTATGCTAAAAACAACAAATCATTGTTTCTTATTTATTTTCAATGTATTCACTCCAACTTCAGATCACTCATTGATCTTCTACTTCTTCTTTTTAAACTCACTCCTTCTTTCAGGCATCAGAGAAAAGAGCAAACAGACACACTGCTGCTCTCACGACTGATAAAACAAAGGGTCTCCTCTTCTACAGAATCAGAAAGAGGGGGAAATACTTTCACAGACAAATACAGACACACCCCGGCTGGAGCTCTCAGCCTTTTCAGGAGAAGGGGGCTTCTTTGAACAATTAACAACAAACTATGGTATACCAAAACATTTAGCGCTTTATCACAGGCTCTACATTATATTACGGCCTGACAAAACATGGAAAACTCCACTTTTGTATGTAGTGAATTCACAGAGTCGCCAGGCAAGTTTTATACTTTTAACTCCCTGAACTCAGATCGGGCTTATTAATCTCTTAATTACCGAACGGACCGGATGTGCACTTGGCTCGCAAAGCAAATCATATCCCCTCAGCCAAATGAATCTCTGAACCTTAAGACAATCATTAGGATCTTCTCAGGCAGAATTCACGACTACGAGGTCAGATACAGTGATTCCTCCAGCATAACATGTCCTTACGGCTAGCAAAGATCATATCCCCTCAGTCAAACCTTTAGCTTCTCAGGCAGACTACGAGGTCAGATACAGTGATCTCTCTAGTATAAACATTTATTAACATAAAACAAGACCTTTACGAATCAACAATGACAACCAGCAGACAGAACAATCAACAAACATATCTCAGCCATAGCTGTGCCTTAACTCCACTCCTCTGCTTTTTTTCTTAAATTTGGAAAAATAACCAATACAACTTCAAAAGTCAATTTCATTCCAAATACGTTCTGCTTACTGTGAGTCGGCATTTCTTCTGTGGAAGTCTCAAGTCTGGTTTCTCAATTTCTTGAGATTTTACCACAGCTTTCTATGTAGCTGCCTGATCAGGGTGAGTTGAGACCTCCAGAGAAGGAACACAGCAACCTCCAGCATTGGCAATCTCGGTAGAACCTCCAAAATGTTGTGGAGATCCAGCATAACACAACAGGAAAGAATGAAACAGAGAGGAATCAATAAAACACAAACACAGATATAGCTGATAAGTAATTATTATTTAGTTGTTGCAACAAACAAACAATAATGGGAAGTACATCACCTGCTGCCACAGCAGCCAATCGTGGAAATGCCCCCAAGAACAGAAGAAATACAGGGCTAGATATACTTTTTTAAATGACACACGAACATGTTCCCCAAACATGTTTAACGCACACACATTTTATCATGCAGCCAACCACACAAATGTCACATGTTTTTCTCTCTGAAAGCTATACCTGTATATGTTTAAATGTCATCATCTCATGACATCTTTAGGATTAGTTAACTAACAAAGGTTAACTGTTTTTATAACCCGAGGCCTTCTCTGAACTTCCTATACCCTCGGTGTCAGCTCACTTAAAATGAATACATCTATTGATAATTCAGAACGACCATTGTCTCTCTAACTGTGTGTGACCCAACTCAGTAACACACATCATATGGAATACCATGTGATCATTAATGAATATCAGAAATACGCTGTATTAAACATTCTGCCATAACAATACCTTGGGACCCGTTATCGTTATCTGCGTTTCCCTGTCGGCCTAGTGTGGCCGAACCGTCTATATGATAGAGAATTGTAGCAGATACGACCGTACTCGTATGGCTAGGGCCTGATACAACGAGACACTTCCTGTTCACACTCCAGCCTGCCACTGAGGTGTGTGTGTGTGTGTGTGTGTGTGTGTGTGTGTGTGTGTGTGTGTGTGTGTGTGTGTGTGTGTGTGTGTGTGTGTGTACTATCCTTTAGGGGACCTACATCTGTTTACACAGTCACGTGTGGGGACTGGCTTCCCTTATGGGGACATAATGGAGGTCCCCAAAAGGGGAATCATTAATGTTAGGGTGAAGACTTGGTTATGTTGTTTTCCCCTTTAATTACAAATATAACTCACATTAACTGCAAGATGTTATTATCAGACTCAATATGACTATCATTTCATTGTTTTTTTATGTTTTTTTTTAATGTTTTTGCACCAATAAAACATCCAAAAAGTATTGTTTAAAGTGACCGTGCATGCACTAACTTTTTATTATTTCTAACCATGAAAATATCGGTTAGAAATAATAAAAAGTCAGTCCTTGGTGTCACTGCAGAGAGTGATTCAGATGACTGTGTGTGTGTGTGTATGTGTGTGTGTGTGTGTGTGTGTGTGTGTGTGTGTGTGTGTGTGTGTGTGTGTGTGTGTGTGTGTGTGTGGCCCTGCAGTCAGTCTCTGGGTGTTGCTTTAGATGTCTCACCCTGCAAACCAGATCCCTTTCTCACTCTCACACACACACACACACACACTCACAAACAAACACATACACACACACACACACACACACACACACACACACACACTTACACACACACGCTTTCAGTTTGGTCCTCCGGTTCAGTCAGCGCTTCATCTGTTGAGCAGAACCCCATTTTGCCAGTTCTTCCTTGGCTCCGAAAACAATTACCTCAGTTTTATCTTTGTTTATATAGAGATGTATTTATTAGGATAAACCCCTTGAGATGCACCATCTCGTTTTTAAGGGGGTCCCGACAAAAGCAAAATAACAGAATACAAAGCAACAACAAACCACGTACAGTCTGTTAATACTCATCTCTGCAGTGTGCAGAACATGAAACTCAGTCAGATAAAACTTCTTGGAGAGTTGAGTGTAGCGTCCTATAGTCAGGTCAGAGAGACTGCTCTAAGAATGGCACATCCAGAAGAGTCTGCAGTGTGTAGAGCATGAAACTATTTCAAAACAACATGAACATTACACCGGCTAATACATGTGTATAAAAGTAGGCCATTAAAGTGAGTTTCATTAGACGCTCGTTGAGTTAAGCACGTACCTTATCTGCTCAGCATCAGAGGGTTAACAACCCGGTTAACCGGGTTAACAACCAGGTTAACCCGGTTAACAACATCCTCACAGAAACACTTCCCCTTCAGTTCTCAGAAGAGAAATACAGAAACAGCAGGTTAGAGACTCTGACAGTCGAGAGCCAGAGACCAAGAGAGAAGCACGATGTCTGAATTCAGAAGGATCATGATGTCTTCATTCCTGATGCTGCTGCTCCACTTTCCAGGTGAGGATGCAGAGAACACACACTGTTTACGACTGTTAATGAAAGCTAGTGAGGGCGTCTTTCAATTGAAATCGATGTATCCTTGGGCAAGATGCTTAACCCCAAGTCGCTCCCAATGGGGAACGGTGTGTGAATGATACCTTCTGTCGTGGAGTTTGAATCAGTTTCTACATTTAATATCCACTTTCCTCTATCGGGGTTGTGGGTTATGATGCGCCTCTCTTTGCTTCCAAACTAACTTTGCAGAGATCGTTGTAGCTTTGAATCACATCAGGTTTATTCTTTGATCAAGGCGACATACAAACATGAAGACAAACTTCCTCGCTTCAATGTAACTAAAAGTTCTCCGTATCAAAAAAGAAAAAAAAGAACACGGTCAAAAGACTCTACCGCTTCCTGTCTAATCACACCCTCAGCTGTGATCCAATGTCATGCCATATATAGACATATAGACATATAGACATGCACGTCATATCCGACAGCAAATAAGTGAGACTTAAACTAACATCTTTTAAAGCGTAGTGTGACTCACAAAAATAAATAGTTAAGAGTTTCCTCTAAAGCCTTTTAGTAATAAGACAAACATTCAAACCATAATGATGAAAGGGAAATGGCTCTAACCCCTACAGATCAACCAGAACTCTAACTCTTTACCTTTTTATATAATAAATCATTATTCTGTCAGCATTTATGACGTCTATATTTATTTCTGATTTTTTTCCCCAACAGCTGCAGCTGTGAAATATTACTCCCTCACTGTCAGACCTGGAGATGAAGTCACTTTGCCTTTTGACAATGTGATACATGATCAGGATAAGTGTGAGAGTACTTGGTGGAGCTTCAGACATTCACCATTAACACCAACAGTGACGCTGTTTAAAGACGGACAGATTCACAAAGAAGCCAAAGCTAAATCAGACAGACTGAGAGTTACAGAGAATTGTTCTCCGGTTATAAAGAAGGTCACAGAGGAGGATGTTGGTGTTTACAACTGCAAACAGTTCAGATCAGGAGAACAACAAGATCCAGACTCTGATGTTTATCTGTCTGTTGTTACCAGTGAGTATTTACATCATGATGTTTTAAACTGTCTCTATAGAGCAATATACTAAATCATTACAATAATAATGATTACAGTGATGAAGTTAATGTTACTCTTGTTGTCTTTCTCTCACAATATCTCCATCTTCAGTGACTGGACATCTGGACAATGATGAGGTGACGTTACGCTGCTCTGTGTTGAGATATGGACGGTGTGATCACAGAGCGAAGTGGCTGCTTCTGGGTCAAGATGTGGTTAAAGATCACAGAGATATAAAGACATCACAGTCTTCCTGCTTTGCCTCTGTGACATTTCTGACTTCTCTCTTTAGTTACACAACAAGGTTTGAGTTGCTTACTTGTGAAGTAACTAATGATGACATAACAGAAGTTCTTCTGTTTCCCTTACAGCTAAAAACCTCTGACTATATTTCACACTTGGGACTTCTCTCTTTAGTTACACAACAAGGTTTGAGTTGCTTACTTGTGAAGTAACTAATGATGACATAACAGAAGTTCTTCTGTTTCCCTTACAGCTAAAAACCTCTGACTATATTTCACACTTGGGACTTCTCTCTTTAGTTACACAACAAGGTTTGTGGTGGGTCATCATGGTGTCTGTGGGGTTAGCAGCTCTCATCATCACCGTGGTTACAGTCCACATCTGGACCAGAGCTAAAGGTGAGGGTTCATAGATTCAAGAGAAAAGAAAAAGTAAACCGTTGAAGCTGAAGTCAACATGTTTGTCTTTTGGTTTTTTTCAGGGGACAAAAAACGGATGACAAAAAACCTCGTGAGTTTAAATATAAAATAATAGTTTGTAATATTTATTATTTTCATTTAACTGTGATTATAAGACAGGCAGAAGATTCAACAAAGGAGTAAAGTGTGCATGTTGTGTTGAAATGAAGTATCTCTGTGGTTCCCTTGAGCAAGGCACTAAAGGAAGTACTGAGATATTGTACTTCATTAAAAGTAGCAATACTACAATGTAAAAATACTCTAATATATATATATGATTCATAATACAAATATACCTAAATTGAAAGTACTGATTATGCAGAATGTAATAATATAATATATGATTATAATAAGTGATGTTTTAATGTGTATCACTTCCATTTGCAAAGTATGGTTTATTAAAATGACTTGACATACTACTGGGTAGCTTAACTAGTTATATTTGTCATGTAATACATCATAGATGGTGATTTCTGCTCAATTTAAGAATGAAATAAATACATAATAAAAGATGTTAAAGCAAGAATGTGTAATAAAAATGAATGGATGTAGACGAGTAAAAAGTTCAACATGAAGCTCCAGAATAAGGAGCAGTTAAAGTGTAAAGTAGCATTAACTGATGATAGTCAAGTAAAGTCCTTAAAATATGTACTGAATTACAAAACTGAGTAAATGTACTTTGTTACTTTCCAGCTCTGCTCTGTGTTTTCACCATGTCTCTGTTCCATGTTGACAGGAGCAGAATGATGAAGATGAAGATGAAGATGAGGTGAACTATGAAAACGATGGATGGGCTTCTGCCTCTGTGTGACTGATCAACAACATCAACTCCCCTCAGAGTCCATGCTGTCAAACATCACCTTCTCATATTCTACAGGAGAAAACAGGAGAACCATGAGATCATTGGAACATTTCTGATGACTGAGAACACCTGAGCAGTGTTCATTTTGGCAGCTATTTTTGATTTAGACTTTAGACGAAAATGGTTATTAGTTTTAGTCACATTTTAGTCCTTTTTGTCCTTCATAGCTTTGGTCTAGTTTTAGTCGATGAAAAATCATTACATTTTAGTCAACTTTTCGTCAAAATGTTTTCTCTCTTTAAACTAATTCAGTTAAACACAGGTATCTGAAACTGGAATCAAGGTGACAGCATCAAGTGTTGAAATTCCTAAAGCAACATTTCACTCTCTTCACACTTTACTTTGAACGGTACTACTACTCTTACAAATCTGTGTGCAGGCCGCTGCAGCGTGTCTGTTAGGCCCCACCCCCCGCACACAGTGAGAGAGAGGTAGAGTTAGGCCCCGCCCCCCACACACAAAGAGAGAGGGAGAGAGTTAGGCCCCGTCCCCCGCACGAGAGACAGAGAGATAGAGAGGCCCCGCCCCCCGCACACAGAGAGAGAGAGAGAGAGTTAGGCCCCGCCCCCCGCTCACAGAGAGAGAGAGAGATAGAGAGGCCCCGCCCCCCCGCACACAGACCACTTCAGAAACTCAACACCATAAAATAGGAAACATAGCTTATTATATTCATTCCTTTCTGATTTAACATCCTTTAATTATGCTCTCACATTCCCATACATAGTTATATTACTGCTTACACTGTATATTTCTGATTTAATGCTGTTTATTCTGTATATGACATCTCAATATTAGCATTACTTGTACTTACACCTTATACCTTCACTTCTCACTGTAACTGCTGCACATGTTCATACATACGTTGGGTTGAATTAATAAAATATTTAAATTGTAAAATGATCCATAAAATGTTTTTGTTAATTGTGTTCTCTGGGGAAAATCATTCACCCTAGTGTCGATTTAATAACTTTAATAAATGCTTTTATCTCGTTTTTCAATGACTGATTCATATAATGTCTTATAATTAGCATCGCGTCTACTTATACCTACAGTATACCTGTACTGCCTACTGTAACTGCTGCACATTCTGTATATATCTGATCAAATGTCTATACAATATATTTACTATACTCTCTTTTTTACTCTATATGTATTCCTAAACCTGAAATGCCTACAGTATCTTAGGATGTTTTAATTAGCTCAAAGGTGGGGTAGGTAATTTTGGAGAAACCAGCTCGAGTGCGCTAGAATTTGAAAATACACAACTGGAACAAATCTGCTCCTTCCTTCAGACTTCCTCACAGAGCCCCTCCTCCAACACACACGAACGCGCACATGACCAATGAGGGCACGAGATAAGTTTGTGCACAGATGGAAGGCTGACAGGCAGGTAGGCCATCCAGTTACTTTAGCCGGGCCGGCTCAGATGATTGGTCGTGCTTTTTACAGCGCCACGGCTTCCACAGATGAAATTTATTGTCAAAGCATTTAAGCATTTATTCATTGCTATCGGGATGTTAAGAGCATTCCATGGAATATAACAAAAAGTGTTTCTGAAGTGAATTACCTACCCCACCTTTAAGTCCTAATGGAATATCTTACTCCTTTTTTTACTACGGCTTTAATGATATATAATCCAAATAAAAAGAGTGCTTTTAATCAATGTTATAATGAGTTGTGTTTCTCTCTCTATCTCCAACACACTGACAACACAACGCTTTGTTGGGTTTAACACCTCTCTTTGACCTGGCTCTCACTTTGTAAACAACATACAGTTTGTGTCAGAGCCAAGGAAGGTGTTGCACATTTAGTGGAGCTAATGAATGAAACATGGAAACCAAACGTCTCAGTCTTTATCTCCAGAGACTGTGAAGACCTGGGGGGGAGGGGGAGAACTCAGGGAGGGAACTCAGGGATTTTAGCCTCTGCAGACCATTGACATGCACTAACACCTATAGAACTACAGGAGAGGGTCACCACAGAAGAAGAACAGGGACTCTTTAAAACTCTCCTCGTTAAATCTGAGAGAAACACACGGGTAACCCAGGTGTGTGTTACTGCTTATCCCAGAGAGGCTAAACATTCTTTATAACACAGTTTCAGATTTGTGAAACCTTAATTCTATTTGTAAAAATACAAAAAAGGGAGATTTCAGTGCTTTTTTACATGTAGACCACATTAGACCAGGTCCTGATCTAAAACCACTCTTCCCCTCTTAGGAAAGCGGACACGGGATGCGAATTTCTTTGACACCGTCCAGGCGTTGGAGGACCGGCGTGCCGTGGTGAAAGAGTCGATGCACGGGGATCAGATGGTGCTGTTCACCAAGGCCCAGGAAACGGAGGACAAGATGCTCACCAGTTCATTTTATATTATTGTTATTACTGTTATTATATAGTCTTGATACAACTGACACTTTATTTTATATTGATAATGTTCATTTACATGTACAACTTCTATTTTATTTACATTAAAAATGTGAACTTCTATTTACTGTTAAACAGATCCTGTAGCTTGCTTATTTCTCCTGACACTTTATCTTTAGTGACCTGTGTAGCATCCTATACATCACATGTAAGTGATTATTCTGATACCATCATGTTTCATCGGTTATAAACTTTATAAAGCTTTATTTGTCATTTATTTATCATCAATGTTGCAACCTTGTGGAGGAATGGCAGGGGCACATACACAAATATGATAATTTATATAATTTTAAATATTATTTGACCTAAAACTAAATGTTTTTATGATTGTCCTCTGAGGAGGACATGGGGATTTGCAAACTTTTAATTTCCCCCCCCATTTTACACAACACAAAATGAAGTCCACTATGGGCCGAAACTAACATGTATGTTTATGGCAGACGGATGCAGTGGGTCTCAGGAAGATAAATAATAACGGTGGGTTTGCTGCTGAGCCTATTTACTGTGCATACAACACACCTGGCACAGTTTATTGTTATTATATTGCCACACTGTACACTATTGTAATGTTGCCTGTCTTGACTGGAAAATAAAAGAGAAACAAAAGCACTGTACAAAAGATCATCTTTATTGTCAAAATGTTTACAATTGACACGCTGTTCAGATGCCTCATAAAGCTGGGTCGCCGGTAAGGCAATCCATTCGTCCCTGTACTCATCATTACTTTCACAAAGGTTATGTAATATGCAACATGCTGCCACCTGGATTTTGATCTTGTCCATCTTGCAGTCGTTTCTTTTCATCAAGCACCGCCACCTGCCCTTCAGTCTGCCAAAAGCGTTCTCCACCACCACTCGTGCTCGGCTTGTTTTGTTATTGTACGCAAGTTGCTCAGGCTGCATTAACTCAGTTACAAAGCTGTATAACATGAGCACAAACAGCACAACTTCAGTCGACTCCATCTCCATCATGTCTGAGGTCGGAAGGTAAACAACAGACGCCTAATGTACAGCGAGTGGGTGGGCGTCGCAGTATACGCGGGAAGTTTTTCTTCTTCTTCTTCTCTTGTTTTGCAGCGGATTGCAAACAACTTTAAGGTGCATACCGCCACCTACTGTACTCGCCGTGAAGTGGTGTGTGGCCTGCCAGTAAAGCCAAAGCAGAAGAAGAAGAAGTGACGTCAGCGGCTCATTTGCGTAATCTTCCCTCAGGGAAAAGTACTCCGGTGTGAACGCGATCTGTACTAAGTGCCCTGGGGTTAAAAGCGCCGGGGCTCTTAGTGCCGGAACTAAGTACAGGAAAGTACTTGGTGTGAACGTGGCTATTGCTGTTATTAGAGGGTATTTTACCTTATTTAGGGTAATGTGGCATGGTTATGGACACGTGAATACAAAAACTAAATCCTAAGGGAGGGAAGGAAAAGATGGGGATTCAATAAGGAAATGGAGAAAACGAGATAGTTTAAAGGAGAACTGATTAGAAGTGGCGAAAATAATACTAAGGGTTAGGATTAGGGAAGAAGGTGGGGAGTGGTTATGGTTAGGGTGGGGGGAAGTGTTGATTTGTGTTGGTTCTCTCGCGTCCCAGGAGAGAAGCTTGCAATAAGGAGACTAATGGAGTCTCTGAAAAGGTTCAAATGGGTTACTTTAATTAAATGGCGTGGTAATGAAGCAAACAGAAGGAGTGAGGAGAGAGCAGCTGCAGCTGCTGTCTGGAGGCGGCCCGGTCAAGAAGTCCCTGAGATCGCGTTGTCCTCCGTCTGTATCGATCCAGCGCTCCTCCTTCAATGGCGGCTGGTGACGTCGTTCTCCCACCTCTTTCTCCAATGTCCGATATCGCACATAACAGAGGATTTAAACGTTGTGGTCATTGTATAACTTCCACACGCCTTTTCTCCTCATACACCAGCCACGGCGCCAGGATTTCAATTGTGGGTGGGCCAATGTAATTTCGGCTGGGCCTGTTCTAATAGATGTTTCTCGTTAACAAAAATGTAATAAAAATAAATGCCTGCATATCATTGTAGGCAACTGTGTAATGCATTTTTCCTATAGTAAAGACACTTTTTCAAAACCCTTCTCTTTTAAACATTTTCACTTATGAGAAGCTTAAATATTATTTAAATGCTTAAGCGGCACGCCGCAATGAGTGAAAATAAATGTTATACTGCATGTTATTTAGTTTTGGTTCACAATACATTGATACGTTTAGAAACAAAGAGCATACAACGGCAGAATATGGAATAATGACCGAGCACCTGATGTGTGTCTGTGTGGTTAGATTGCAGCCTGCTGTCCTTTAGCGGATCTAGCGAAGTGAGCGGCCGTGCGTAAAAGGCACTGGTTCTCTGACGCGGCACTTTTCAGAGGCTGCAGATTTATCATTAGGCTACTTCCTTCTGATACTGCAGAGCTTTCATGAGCTGAAGTATACGTTTCATACTAAAGCAGCTGGGCAGCAGATACTGTTGCTTCACACTCATAAGCTTTGCTGATTTGGGCTGGAGAATGCCTGCCGCGTCTGGGTGCGCTCTGGTAGTTGCAAATGGCACCACATTTTAACGTTTCTCAATCATTTCCCTTGATATTTAGTCTCAATATGAAATGAGGAATCTCTTGCTTTGCACATGTGACAATTATGTCCGGTAAAACTTTACGTGTTCCCGATTTTTCTCAATGATCTCTCCCTGTCGGCCCTCTGGGTTGAGTAGCTGATGGAGGATGGTTCCATGCTCAGACTTCTCGCACTGTCTGTAGTTTGTATTTCTCTCCATAGCTATTGCATGAGCTGCGCTGCATTCGTGTTTACTGAGAGCATAGTCGATATGTTTCCAGTCCCTGTAACCATGGCGACTGAATGTATCTTCTCCGCCGGCCCCGCCTCTCACTAAAATGCCGGCATATTTTACAAAACACACTGTCCTTGCTAATGCTATACTCCAATAATGTGTTCTTGTCATACCAGTGGGCAGCGGAGCTCCTTTTCTTTTGTCCGAGAAGTGTCT